GAATATAAATGACTATATCTTAGGTTCTCAGGTATATAAATTAGGTTGCTATACCTAGATCAGAGACTAGAACATTCTATCTGTGCTTATATCTGCCCATTTGACTTACAAATCTGTTGTTCTGTTATCATATAAAGTTAAGTTTTAAAATATCAATATTTGAAACTAAAATAAAATCAACACTTCCTGTCACTGTGCCAGGCTTAAATAATAATCCTAGTCACACCCAAAACAAAACAAACTATACAAAACAAAAAATAACTGCACAAAAATGATTTGTATATCCTATAAACCTTTTTTAAAAGATTTATTTATTTATTTATTTATTAAAGATTTATTTATTTATTCATACACTGGGTATAGTCAGAAGCACAGGAGGGTGAGAGAATTCACCAGAGCCAGAGCGGGGAGCAGAGCAGGCAGAAGGACCGAAGTACACTGCTGAGGGGAGCAGCGGGCGGCAGAAGTCTGCGCGCCATGTGGGACCCTCCTCCAGTGGCCGGGGAGCAGCTGGGGATCAAACCTGCGCTGCAGAGGCTGTGGGCAGCTTCGCAATCCAGCGCTCAACCGCTGTGCCACCGGGGAGACCCTACCCTATAAACCTTTTATTAAAAATCAGTCCTCCTGAAACTAAAGTAGCAGTATAAGTTGAAGGAGAATTTACCGAAGTATTTTCAATAATATGCACCCTTCCATGGCGTAAGCCATGGATAAGAATACAATACTTGTTATTCATGGTTGTGTAAAGTTGTATGCCACTTAGATCAATTCAGGCTGAACAACATTACATAAAATAACAGTACACAGAAGACATTTACAAATGTAAATCAATTAACATATCAAAAGTCTCCAGTGCATGGTTTCCTGTATGATTTAAAAAAATGGAATCCAACATTCTAAGTAGTTACTAGTACTCAGAAAAGTCAACTTAAATTGAATGTTAGCTAGTTGGAAAAAAATTTTCATGTAAATGTGAAGGGGAAGTTTACTTAGGATATGATTTTAAAAATATAAATAAAAACAATGTACATAGGTATATTTTAGCTGTTATTTCATAAAATTAGGTTTTCATTACAACATTTATCTAGCAATTTTAGAATAAAGCATTTTCTATTACACATACGCTTAAATAACTATGTAGTAGAGTATACTTAATTTTTGTTTTATTTTAACAAGTAGAAAAACCTCATATATGTAAAAATATTTGAGGGAACCACAACTTTTTCTACAAGCATCTATTATGCTTCTCAATAATGCTAACAACAATGATGATGACAAAGAGGATGGAGATAATAGTATTAACATAGAACTTACTAATGCCAATATTGCTTTAAAGATTCTATAATTGTGATTCTATTGCATTGGGAGGATTAAATAAATTATGTATCAAATATCATGGTATTCAAACCAGTATGTGTATACAAGACCACTTCTCCCAAGTACTAGAATAAGTGTTTAACTGATCTCCCACTTTTCTCGAAGGTTGTTCTTATACACAACAAACCATATTCTTAACATATAAATCAATTAACATTGCTGATCAAAATCTTCCAATGGATGACTTCCCACTTCACTTAGAAAAAAAAATAGCCTCAATATTCTTAACATGATCCACAACAGTTTTCATGGGCTTGACCCACTACAATGGCCACTTTGGTGTTGATCGTGCATTCTCTGGGGGTACTTGACTCTGATTCTCCATCCTCCTTGATGCTCTTTCCCAGATAACAGCAGGACAGCCTCACTTCCCTATTCTAGGTCTCTTCTGATGATACCAATTCAGAAGATTCTTCCCAACCTAACAGAGAAATGACTCTCTTCCTAGTCTCTCACCAATTTTACTTTTCTTCACATTATTTGACACTATTTTGAAAAATGATTTTTTTGGTTTGGCTGTTGGTTAATGTCTGCCCCTCTTCTGCTCTCGTCACCACCACTAGAATGTAGGAAATCATGCTTGTTGAGACTCATATTCACTATTGGAATACTCCTACTTAGATTACCTAGCACATAGTAAGTGCTCAATAAATACTAATTTATTTAGTTGAATCATTCTTGTCAGTTTCCTTTCCAAATTTCAGCTGAGACATCTCTGTCTAATACACATTGCTAACTCCCATTCCACATATACATATATATTTGTGTGCACACACATATAAATCTACCCTCACAAAGACTTCCATAAATTGATTAGTAAACTAATACATGATAAAAATATTCCTTCTATGTAAAATAGAAAATAAAAGACTAATAAAATAATAAAAATATTCAAAAATATTCCTTCTATGTGAAATTTATGGGGACAAGAGTGAGATGCATGGTAGGTATATTAATATAATGTATGAGTATTAATATAATGTATGTATAAATACACAATAGCTACAACATCACTATAATGTTAATTTTCAGTGTACAGAGTTACATTCTACATAAGGATATTCTACTCAACAGTGATGGTCACTATATATCCGTGGTGGGTAACAGGTTACATCATCTGGGTTTATGTAAGTTCACTCTATGACTTTTACAGATGAAATCACAAATGACGCATTTCTCAGAACATCGCCCTGTCATTAAGTAACACATGACATATTTATATATGTGTATAATATATATGAACAATGAATAAGTGACATATGTTATATAGTATATATATACATATATATACCTTTCTGATGTCATTCTAAACAAAATTGCTAATAATGTTTTATTACATTTATTATTTAATTTATCTCATTACATTTATTATTTTCATTACATTTAATAATGTTTTCATTTCATTTATTCTCAAATACTTTTATTCTATTTTTCTTGATTTATGACCATTTGTTTAAGTTCATGGTTCAATTTATTTTTGCTGTCTTCATTATGCCCAATCAAAATCTAAGGAGAAACTCAAGATTTTAAACTCTGATAGAAGGCTCATCAAAATATCAAATTCATCCCCTAACTCATTCCTCCCTACTGAAACACATGGTTTTATGATGTGATTATTTTTCATGAAATGTATTCTATTATGTAGCAAAGCAGCCTGTATTGTAATGGGGATCAGATACTGTTGGAGATGGTCACAAGTAGATCAGTACAAGATTGTTTACTGATAAATCTTAATATCCTGTTATAACAGAAAACTTGGAGTCATTTTTATCTGACTATCAAATTTGCAAATAAAAAATCAGAGATTGGCTATTTATAGCAACTGGGTACCTTCTAATTTATGACTGTATTAGGAAGAGGAGACTAAGTATCAGATTGCTATTAACATTTTCTTTAATTAAAAATTAGTATGGGGCCTCCCCTGGTGGCATAGAAGTTGAGCGCTGGGCTGTGAAGCTGCCTGCAGCCTCTACAGTGCCGGTTCCATCCCCTGTGGCCAGCAAGAGTCCCACATGGCGCTGCAGACCTCTCCTGCAGCGCCCGCTGCTCCCCTCAGCAGTGTATTTTGGTCCGTCTGCCTGTTCTGTTCCCCTTTCTGGCTCTGGTGAATTCTCTCACCCTCCTGCGCTTCTGACTGTACCCAGTACTTGTATAAATAAATGAATAAATCTTTTTAAAAAATAAAAAAAATAAAAGTTAGTATGCTATAATCTGGCGGATTATGTATAATTATCAGAAGGGATAGCTAGGCTAAACAGATGAAAAGCAATGTTTATGGTAGTTTGTTTACAAAAACAATGACAAAGGCAAAGATAAACACTGACCAAAAAAATGTATAAAAATAGATTTCTGTGCTTTCTGAGTTTGAAAAACTTCATGTGAGTGAGGCTCAAGAGGCACCGACCAGATTTGGCCATCTTAGAACAGGGACGAGGCAAGGAGAAAGGGCATACTAAGTTTCTCTTTATATATGTCAGGGTTGAATTATTACAACATATCGCTTTTACAGTTATGTTATCTATACAATGATAAATATTTAAATATTTATCATTACTTAAATAATTCATTTAAATGTTACATATTATTATATGCCTATTTAATATGTAACTACATATTAAAGCATATAATGATTACTTTTACATAGCCATATGCTCTCTTTTTGTGTATTTGTGTGTGCACAATATAAAGCATATAATGATTACTTTTACATAGCCATATGCTCTCTTTTTGTGTATTTGTGTGTGCACACATATATTTAAATTCACTAATTATTTTTAACATTGCTTTTTAATGTTTTATTTCCAAGACTTTCTTTACTAAGTATATGTTTTAATCAACTATCTGGGTAAATAACACTATAGATAAAAAAGTGTGTCATGTCAGGAGAGGAAGTAAATCTGTTGTATTAAACTAGGGCCTAATTAAAGTATTGGCTAATAATCTAGCCATAACTGATATTTTAAGTTATTCTAATAAATAATGAGAAAAAGCAAAATTATCCCTATATTTCATTGTATAAGATATATGTCCATTTCAAAGCAAACATATGGCTGATGAAAATGGTTTATTATAAAATGAAAATATTAAGATTGATGATTTGAAACAGTAATGGTAATAAATACTAGATGCCAATGTATTATACAGAAATGTCATCTGATGCCAAAAAGAAAGAAAGGGCTGTTATACTATTTTATGTGGGTAAAGAAATAGATCTTCTAACTGACAAAAGTTTAAATCCAGCATAAACATTCATTATTCTCAGCACAGCAAAAGTATCAAAATATATTATTGCTAATGTGAAAACACTGAGTTCACATTTACACCAAAAGGAAAACTGATTAAGAAAAAAAAGAAGGCTGTTAAATTAGAAGGGAAAGGCTTTTGTTGACTTTTCTTAAAAATAGGAGTGCAGTTTGCAAATGCAAACATTATTGACTAACAGAGTATAGTTAAAAATATTTTGGTTTTAGTTAAAAATATACTTTGAGGTCTAAATGGTCTGGTCATTCTATGCCTTACACTAGCATACAAAATTAGAATGGAAAATATGACCGACTATGGATGGTATGATATATTCTAGTACAATATTTAAATGATGTGCCGTTCAAATAATTCAGACTTACAGTAATTTTTGAGTCTTCTCTTTACAATGATATTTTAATCATTCATAACCTAAAAGGAAAAGAAATAAATCAAGATTATTATCATAAAAATATCCATGAACTTTGCTAAGAGAGTAGAACTTAAATGTCCTGACAAAAAAATACTTGAGGTGATGGATGGATTAATTAACTAGAGAGTAAGGTTTCTGTCACAATACACATGCATGTCAAATTGCCACAATGTAAACTTTAAACATCAATTTTATGTATCACTTGTACCTCTGTAAAACTGAAATTTCAAAATATTCCATGAACCAAAAAATATTTAAAGTATTAATTTTTCATTTATAAGAAAAATTAAAAACAAAACATCTTCATTAAATAAATTATCAAAAGAATAAATAGTTTACTTTAAATTTTGTCCACTGGAACATAATTCCCTATAATAAAAACCGTTATCCTCTTTGATTCCTAAAAACTACTGCACAATTATAAGATGAATAATATCAATAAAGTACTTTGTTAGGAAAAAACAATTTAATTAACTGTAGGCCTGCTTTCTAAGTTTGGAAATATATAACTTCTAAAATCAAAATTCACAGGAATCAAAAGTAATAAAATTATTTAAATAAGTCCAACAAAAGTTAGTTTACATAAACTGACTTTGAAGTCAAATTGTGCTCTGGCTATTATTACTGTTATTAGTGTATAAAAATATCATAAATATGTTAAAGAAAAAGATCTTCATATGGGTGAGCACACAAACACCATCAAATTAATTTGCTCAATATCCATAACTTGTAAAAGCATTCTTTCAATCACAGAGGTTATTAGTGGAATGCTACATTTTAATTAGTATTACATGAAAATGTCACTATTAAGTCATCATAAAGTAATGTCTAAGGCCTACAATTTTAATATTAAGGATATTATTTCAAGTTTTTAAGAAATAGTTTTAAATATGTCATTTTATGTTTTATAATTTATTTCCTTGCCAATCTTATCTGTGTTATATGCGTCCAGAAATTATTTATCCATAATAATAACTAAAAGAGTTTGAAGTGAGGGCCTCCCTGGTGGTGCAAGAGGTTAAGTCGCAACCTATGAAGCTATCAGCAGCCACTGCAGCACAAGTTCGATCCCTGGTCAGGGAGCTACACACATGGTGCAGCAGACCTCTCCTGACTCTCCTGCTCCTCCCTCAGCAGTGTATTTCAATCAATCTGCCTGTTCTGTTCCCCATTCTGTCTCTGGTGAATCCTCTCACCCACCACACCTCTGGTCTGTAGCCCGGTTCTTGTATACATAAATAAATAAATCTTTAAAAAAAAAAAAGAGTTTGAAATGAGGTGAAGATTTTGGAAAACGTGTTTAATGATGAGATTTCATAATTTATAGTCCTCTGTGAGAATCTACACATATTAACAAAATGATTGATGGGCCAGTCCAGTTTTTCAAACAGCAGAATATTCATGCAGGCTATAAAAAGAATGTTTTCTTCTGTTGACCCAGTTCATTCATAGTTGGCAAACTATTTGGAAACTAAAACATTAAGGAAGGCTGGTCTCCTTTCCAGACTATGAATATGCAAAAAGAGGACAGCAAAATCTAAACTTATAGCCCAGTGTTTTGAGATGTTCATCTTAAACTAATATAGTATAAGTTTTTGTTTAAAAACATCCTACACAATATATAAACAGTTTAACTACATATCTAATATGTTGTTTTATTATTTAATATACTAGTATTAAATATTATTTAAACAGAAAAATATAAACTATATAAATTTGTGTCAAATAAATATAAATAGCTCTTGATCTATTTAATACTTAAGAGAACCACAGAAATATTAAAAACAAAGTCTAGATAAAACTATTAAAAATCAAGTACTAATACATCTATTTGTTAAATAAAATAGAATGTAAATCTTCTGGTTAGTTGTATGGTTTTGGTGTTCCTAGTAGAACACAAGGGGAAAGTAAACAAAAATTCATAATTCGTTGCCTGTAATTTAAGAAACTTTAAGTGGGACTCGGTGATTTACAAAAAATTGTGTCAAATTTTTCATTGGTGAGACATGTGGAGATCAAGGTGTGTGATTGGCTAGAAATATTGCACATACCATCTTAGTGTGTGAACAAAGTATAAGAATCCCATTATAAGACTATGAGACTACCATCTTTGATACCCTAAATCTAAAATCCTATTTAATTTGTTGCCCACCCCTAAACTTATAAGGAGGCTGTGTCTGGTATATCAAGGCCTCATTGTTCCTGCCACCTGAACACTGTCGTGTATGCTTAACAGCAAACCTTTCCTACAAGATACCTGATGGCATGCCAAAAAGGACAAAGAAAAAGGACTATCCCAGATTAATAGAATGGGCTCTTTCATGGCTCAGCCCATTAATAGAATGGGCTCTGATTTATTTGGGGTTTAGGTTTTTTGTTTTGGTGTTGCTTGTTCTTTAAGCAAACCCTCTGGTAGCAAAGTTGTGAAAGAAGACAAACTGTCCCTAACTATCTCTTAATGTCTAAGATTAAATATGGACATTAATCCCTGATAATTGAGTTACCAGGTTTAAATATATAAACAATCATTAAAAATTGTTCCAATGAGATTCTTAGAAAAAATAATATCTACTATATCTTCACATTATAGGAGTGAGCAAAATTGTGTGTGCATAGTAGCAATAATATTTAGACTCATGCTCTTGGACCAATATTATGATTCAATAAGTTTAGTATTTGAGCACAAGATTTTACATATTAAAATCCATGTAATTCAATACTGATAGTCTAGATCCTGGAAACAGATTTTGGGATATGTTGGCTGTAGCTGATTAGTTCCAAGAAGCAAAGGGCATAAGTATGAAGGTCAACTGGGGGAACAGCAAGTGAGTCTTCGTTCAATTCATAGAAAATTTTATTTAGTTGTTGAACTACTATAAAATAAAATATATCAAGAGAACAACTGACTTAGCAGTTTCAACAAGATGCAGAAGCTATGCATTGATATTATAATGTCTACTCATCAAAAAAAACCTTGGAAACTTAATATACAATTAGTCTCATTTAAATTATGAAGAACAGGGCGATACCATTATCTTTACAGATGATTCCCAAATTGATATCTCTAATCCAGACTCCTTTCCTGTGTGCCAGACTCATACAGTCAACTTTCTACATGATATTTCCATTTGGATAAACCTAACAAAACCAGATTCTTGACAGTCAATCCCAAAATTGCTTCTCCGGAAGCAATTTCTATCACAATCAGTGACAATTATTTCAATTACTCAGGTGAAAAACATGGAAGCCATTTTTGATGCATCATTTTCTCAATCAGTCACTTAACAAAGTCTGCTAGTATTTCCTTTGGCAATTGTTTGCAGAATGTGACTATTTCCATCAGTTCCTTCCCTATCACCCTTGTCTATTCTAAGTTACCATCATCTCTCATGTGGAATTTTGCAATAACATTTAATGTTCTCAGAAATGTGCTAGTAAATGTTTAACAATAATGTTATTTATAATTATAAATATGTATATTGTTATAAACAAAAAGGAGGGAAGAAGAGAAAGAAAATTAAAAAAAAAAGAGAGGAGATAGGGAAGAAGAAAGGCAAAAAAGAAGACAGTAAGAAGGAAAAGAAAAGGGAAAAAGAAAAGACAAGCAGGAAGGGAGGGAAAAAGGGGGAGAGAAAAAGAGATTACCAATTTACAGAGTCTGCAGATCCTCATGGTAAAATCCCAGCAAGGTTAATTTCAAGTGTCAGGACCACGTGTCCAGGAAAAGTCATGCAGAGTTATGGGGAGCCAGAACGATTGAGTTCCAGCACACCATGGTCCTCCTTTCTTTCACAGCTGATACTCTCTTCACCACATGGCACCCACAGTGACTTAGTCTGGTAACATCACAACTCAACTAAAGCCTTCCAGTTCATGCACAGTAAAAATCTCAGAACATAGACTCCAAAGCCTGCCTATGATCACGTGACTCTCACTCTCTCCCGGCTCACATTGGGCGCCTCACTTGACCTTAAACATACCCAGCATGCCCCATTTCAGGACCTTTGACTTTCAGTTCTCTCTGCTTAGAACACTTTCCCTATGTACAACCCTCTATTTCTTCCTTCTGGTCTTTGCATAAATAGTGTTAATCAGGAGACCAAGCCCTGAATATCTATCATAAAAAGACATAATAACACTCCCTCTCCAATTCTTCAGCTGGCTTTCCTTTTCTTTGTAGTACTATTTACTTTTATACTTTTGCATTTTTGACATTTATACCTATAGATAGATATTATTATATCAATATTCATTACTGTCTGGCTCTTTAAAAGCACACACATCATTCAGTTCAATGTTCCTATCCTCAGTTCGTATGACAATGTTGTCACATAATGAACTAATAAAATCTTATTGACTAAAGAGACAATATACAAGCAAATAAACCAAGAGGTAATTTCAGATAATGAAAAGTTCCATAAAGCAAATAAAGGAGGATGGTGAGTGATTCCAGAGTGTGTAGGGGTTCAGTGTCCAGTGAGTAGTGGGTAACTTAAGATGTGATATTTAAGCTAAAGTCACCATGATAACATAATTAGTCCAGTCTGCACACAAATAAAAACTCATTAGAGAGGGCCTCCCCGGTGGCGCAGCGGTTGAGCGCTGGGTTGCGAAGCTGCCCGCGGCCTCTGCGGCGCCGGTTCGATCCCCAGCTGCTCCCCGGCCACTGGAGGAGGGTCCCACATGGCGCGCAGACCTCTCCTGCCGCCCGCTGCTCCCCTCAGCAGTGTACTTCGGTCCTTCTGCCTGTTCTGCTCCCCGCTCTGGCTCTGGTGAATTCTCTCACCCTCCCGCGCTTCTGACTGTACCCAGTGCATGTATAAACAAACAAACAAACAAACAAACAAACAAATAAATAAATAAATAAAACATGCCTCTATAAAAAAAAAAAAAAAAACACAAACTCATTAGAGAGTAAAAGAGGAGTAGCTTTGTGATGATTTTAGGCTTTAAAAAAAGAACAGGCAAATGAAATCCATTTTTAGTGTGCTCTCAAAAA